GGGCGTGCCCGCGGGCGCGTCGGGCCGCGGGACGCAGGCCGCGTCGCCGCAGGTGTCGCGGACGCGCGCGTGGCCCCGCGCGTGGAGCCAGACCGCGTCGACGGCCGCGCGCGCGGAGAGGTTCGCGAGGAGCGCGTCCGCGCGCGTCGAGAAGTCGCGGTGCGGCGCCGCGTCGTCCTCGGCGACGGCGACGAGCGGCGCGTCCGCCGCCGCCGCCGCGCGGAGCGCGCGGAGCCAGGAGAGGCAGATCGCGTTCGCCGCGCCGCCGTGCCACTCGTCGGACCCGGCCATGAGGTGGGCCGTCGGGACGCCGAGGCCCGCGGCGAGCGCCGCGGCGTCCGCGGGCGTCGCGGCGTCGACGCGCGCCGCGGCGAGGCCGTGCTTCGCGGCCTGGGCCTCGGCGAAGGCGCGCCGCTTCGCCGACGCCGCGACGTTGATGTAGAGCCAGCGGAGGCCCGCCGTCGACGGCGGCAGCGGCGGCGGCGGCGTCTCCGGCGGCGGCGGCGGCGTCTCCGGCGGCGTCTCCGGCGGCGGTGTCGGCGGCGGCGTCTCCGGCGGCGGCGGCGTTTCCGGCGGCGGCGTCGGCGGCGGCGGCCGGCGGCGGCAGACGAGCAGCACGTCGCCCGCGCCGGGCGCCGACGCGAGCACGAGGTCGTCGATGCCCAGGACGGCGCCGCCGGGCGTCTCGAGGACGTGGGTCGCCGCGTCGACGCGCCGCGAGGCCAGCGACGCCCAGACCTTGCGCGCGGGCACGTCCTTCTTCAGCGTGAGCTTCAGGCTCGCGCTGCCGACGACGTCGATGTAGACCGCTCGGCCCATCGAAGAGGCTGCCCTAAAAAAAAACATTCTTGAAGGGAGCTGCGATTGTTTGGGGCAGCATGATGGTGCCGGCGCCGCGGCTCTACCGCGGCGCGAAGCCGCCGCCGCCGCCGCGGGCGGGCGGCGTCGCCGCGGAGCTCGCGGCGCTCGGGTCCGAGACGGCCGCGGACAATCTGGCGAGCGCGCGTGCCGCCGTCGCCAAGCTCGCGAGCGAGAACGACGCCCTGCGCGCCGCGGTGGACGCGCACCGGCGCGAGCTGGCGGCGGCGGACGCGGCGCGGGGCGAGGCCGAGGACGAGCGCGGCGCGCGGCGCGACGCCGTCGCCCGGAGCCGCGGCGAGGCCGCGGAGCTCCGCCGCGAGCTCCGCGCGCTACGCGCGGCGCGGCGGAGGGACCGCGAGACGCTCGAGGCCTGGGCGCGCGAGCGCCGCGGCGCCGAGGAGGCGGAGCGGGAGCGCGCCGCGGAGCGGGCGCGGGAGGCGACGCAGCGGCGCGCCGAGTTCCGGAGCCGCCTCGACGCCGCGGAGCGCGACCGCGACGCCGCGCGGCAGGACGCGGACGCGGCCCTGGTGGCGTCGCGGCGGTCGGCCGAGGAGTGGACGAAGGTCGTCGACGCCAAGGACCGCGCCGCGCGCCGCGAGGTGGCGAAGCTCCGGGAGGAGCTCGACCGGTGCCGCGCCGCGCGCGCCGCCGGCGCCGCGCGCGCGGCCGCGCTCGAGGCCGCGGCCGCGGCCCTCGGCGACCGCCTCGACGGCGAGGCCGCCCGGCGCCGAGACGCCGAGGAGGCGAG